AACAGATATATCCACTTTCATCCCAATAGCTTTTGGGATCATATGGTTCTTTTTTTATAATCATAATCCTCGCTTTGTGGACAAGGGTGTTACTTCAGATTTAATTTGAATGTGATACTGTGCCATGTGTTGTCTTAAATGGTGTGTAGTGCAATATTTTAATTTTCCACAAAGAACTCTAAAGACTTCCATTTTCAAAATGTTGTGACCTTTAATGTTATATCACTTAAAAACCTTAGTCTCTGAATATCCTTATTTGTATAATAAAAAATAAAAAAATAAAAAAGTTTATAGATGCATCAATGGATGGCCAGGAATTTATCTTGAACCAAATTTATAAGTACAAACTACATTTCCCATGGCACTACTTAAATCTACAGAGTGTTTTAAAAGTCTGGAACCATAGTCACTTTTACAGAATGTGTTCCACATGCTGTCTGTGTAATTCAAAACAATTTTGGATTAGCAGCATGATTAGCTGGAACTTCTCATACCGTGACAGTGGCAGTACCATAATCAATCACGTATCTAAAGTTAAGAAAATCTGCAAATCATTTATGGATCTAGACTTTTCACACACCCTGTACTGTGACATGAACATATACAGATCATTCTTGTAAAATACAATTAAGCTTCTATATTGATTATTTATTCATAACAACATTCGTAACTTTTTCTTAGGTAGCCTGGGGACCACTTGATTATCTAGTAGTAGACATGCCTCCAGGGACAGGAGATACACAGCTATCCTTATCTCAGAGTATCCCTATCACAGGTGAGCTTTTTTGGTAAGTCGAAACGTTGTATATTTGCTGTTATGTTAAACTTATATTAAAGTTTTTCTTCATTACTCATTCAAGCTGTCTCCAGCCATTATAAATATTCGTGTATTCCTGTATTTCTAGAATCACCTACATTAAAGTGCTACATATGATATGTTTTTTTTAACGTTTATATATGTCGATTAATAAATAGACATCGAGAACTATGAGCAATGAGATGCCATAAAATGGTTTTTATGCAAGCTAATATACAACTTATTTATTAAAGTGTAGTGAAACATCATTAAAAAATGTTATTAATGTAAATTTAACATATGGCATGCTAAACTATAGCCAAAGATGAAAAAAAACCTTCAGTAATTTAGTAAGTATGCACTTCTTTTAGTAGTTCCAAAATCATTTCACCCCTTTGAGAAGATAAAACAACTTATTTGATATGAGATGATTCAATGTATTTCATTGTCAAAACATATACAGTTAAAAAATCTATGAAATCATTTCCTACAGGTGCTGTCATAGTGACAACCCCTCAAGACATAGCTTTACTAGATGCAGTACGAGGGACAGACATGTTTCGTAAGGTTGGTGTGCCCGTTCTGGGTATTATACAAAACATGAATGCTTTCTCCTGTCCAAATTGTGGGCACACCTCTTACATATTTGGCCAAGATGGTGCTCAACGGGTAGCAAAACAGCTGGATGTTGAAATATTAGGTAAGTGGATTCTGTCAAATCAAATTAGTGCTCAGAAATTATAGTGGTACTTGATATATTGCCTTATCATAATGTAAAACCAAGATCAAGTAAAAAAGTTGTTAATATTGTTAAACGTGCATCATTTTTGTCAAGAGTAAAGTATATTTTGACCAATAACAAGTGATATTTATATGCTTGTATACCCAATCTTCAGAGAAACTTTCCTGAAGCAAACACTTGCTTATGTCAAACTTGTGATGTTACACTGTATAGGTATTTAGAAATTTTGTTACACAGGAATATAAAATTCTAAAGATTCCACACTAAACTTTAATTTTTAAATGTTTCATGTATATTGGCTTACAAATTTAGCATATTTTTTACACCATTTTATATGCATCTATTTATGCATATTGAGGTATTCATGTTAGTACTGTATTTTTTATCTGTTTCTGTTAAACTGACCATGTATTTAACCAAATAAAGTTTGAGATGTTCAAAATAGTATTTCCCTATTCCTTGTTCTGACTTACATACAAGCTCAGACAATATATGCTCATTTTTTTTTATGTCCAGAAAGGCAAGGCTAGCAGCACCCGGTCTCTTAAATATCCTGTTACCTCAAGTGATTGTGTATCTAGAGTAAAATATTTACTTTCAGGATAATGAAGTAAAGCCATTTTAGTAGCATAAATGTATTTTTCATTTATTGGACGATTTGGAATATGTATGATAAACTCTCTTAACCAGAAATGACACTTGCTATATTGCTGTCATGACAGATTTTCAATATACTACCTTCCACCTTTAATTTTATTTATTTATTACTGCATGAAGAAAATTACGGTAACATTTAATGTATGACAACAGATGCCATTTCAGAACATTATTTATTTATATTTCACTTTTTTCTTCCTTTCATTGAGGTGAAATCACTCACTGCTTTCTTCAAATCCACTTTTTGTGCAATCTAGTGGTTTAATGAAATTGTATTGAGTCCAAAAAGTCTTTTTTTATATTACGGGTGATCTCATTTGGGTTTTAATCACTGAGTTTGGGAAAACTTCTTTATCTATTAGCATTGATAATGGGAATAGCCAGCAGAACTCTTAGTGCACCAGAAGTGTTGGGAAGTAACATTGCTTGTCTGTTATTGCACATTTATTCCAGTACATTTGTTAGAGTAATTTTAGACATTCTCCCTGTTAGAACTTCGTACTTGTCACCCAGTTCTGTTACACTGACAATAAATTTCTCACCATCTGATAATTCAATATGATCAATGAGTTGTATTCCAGCTTTTGCTGAAACCTCTCTTCCAGGAGCTCAATAACTTTGAGTTTCTTTAAAAAATTTGATCTTCAAATTTTGACTTGTATAAAGGATTAGATTCACCACAATTTTCTTATAAAAACTATCTAAATTTTTGTGAGCATATACTGCTCTTGAAGCAAGTGTTGAGTAATTTCCATTTCTTCTGCAAGCTCCATTGCATCCATCTATGCCTGTGAAATGGCTTCATCGTACCGAAAGTTTGCATATTGGCAGTGATTGCATTCATCTTAGGACTTGACTTTGTTCAACAGACTACATTGGAGACCAAATCTGTATCGTATCACACAAACAGCTTAATTCTACTTTCCCATCATAAATTATTCAATACCATTTAACTGGAAAACAATGAGTTGAAACAGATAAGTGTATCCATTGAATCAAGCTGAAGATCATCACTGATTCAGAGCAATAGTTGGCTTCATCTTTCAAAATAAAAATTTGTATGTGGGTGTTTATTGTAAGACACAGAAAAGGTTCTTTGTTACTTTTTTTGAAGAGCATTGTCCATTACTGTCATTTTGGCTTGAAATGTCATACCTTTGGCCTCATAAGTCTCCCATAGAAAATGCCATTTCGTCAAGTTCCCCCCAAAAAAGCTATGATCATACCAGCACTACTTGTGTCTTTCGTGTCAAAAATCCAAGCAAATGTTCATTGATGTCAATTTCACCAGCTTCAGTTGGAAATGGCTATGTGGCTTATGTTTGGAGAATACTGAAACACAATAAATTAATACTCTTCATTTCTAGCAACATGCAAAGCTTGAATTTGGAATTTTGTTGGACATCAATTAATTAGTTCATTCTAGATAATCTTTCCAGACAGTAATATTTGATTTCTTGTATGGTAATTCTTTCAAAATTTTCTTTTATGGCAAGATCATAAATGGCCAAATATTCAAAAATTTTAGGAAATTTCTATTTCCAACCATGAAAAGTACCCCATAACATTCATAACAAGCCATATTTTGAGTTCCAATAATGTTTGTTAGAGGAAAAGTCTTTTAAGTAAAGTTCAAAATTTTAATTCTTTTCACCTTTGAAATGCCTCCAGATTTTTTTACTGACTTTTCTGTCTGTTTTTTCTCTTGCGTTCAAGATTTTAATTCTTTCCACCATTGAGATGCCTCCAAATGTTTTACTGACTTTTCTGTCTGTTTTTCCTCTTGAGAAGCTGTGGCTTATTCAGTTTTAGACAGCATAGCAGAAAGTTTTAACACTGATCTTTACACTAGTTTTAGCAGCAGCAGTCTTATAACTCATTATAATAGTAGCTTCTTCACATTCTCTTATCATTAAGTATGGTAGTGTAATACTTATAAAAGCAGATATTCCATTTGAAACTATGTCACCTCAGTGAATTTGGTTGACACCATTGTTTTGGTTTTTGAGTTATCATGTAATAAAAAAAAAAAGCAACAGAAAGAAGAACAAGAAATTCAAACTTTTTGCTATAATACTTACAAACATTTCCAAAACTTGTGACTCAGTCATTACATAGATATTGTTTTGAAAGGAAACACTGTATGGTATTGTAAAGTTCTGATGACCTATTGGGGAGAAATCCTGATGAGAAATAAGATAGAATTGAGTATAGAAGCACCCCCAAACTTCATATTGCTGGCACATAAAAATATAGCTAATAAAAAGGAAACAAACGAGTATAATAAAAAAAATAATAATCATTTTATAAATACAATTAGGGATTGATATATATGTAACCTAGCCATTTATAGTAATTTAAAAAACTTTAATGCTACAAATAGTATTGAAACAAGAAAGTCACAACTACGAAAACTGAGATACTTAAAATATTTAAAAATTATCCTTACTTAGATCAGACTAAAATAATTAGTGATTTGTCAAGGTAGGGATAAATATTTTTATATTTTAATTAACTCGCATTTTTGAAACAAGACAACATTATATTAACAAGTATAATAATTTTTTTTTAATTATATGAAGACAAGTAGGGATCAATATATATGTAACCTAGTTAGCTTTAGTAATATAGAAAATTTTAGTGTTATAAAATGTATTGAAACAAGAAACTCAAAATTACAAAACTGTTTGTAAAAGTGCAAAATTACTAAAAGATGTGAAGTAATAACTCAAAAGTGAATTAACGGTACACTTATGACGAAAGGAATTGTCTTTCTGGTACTTTAAGTTTGTAAAAGTGCAAAATTACTAAAAGATGTAAAGTAATAACTCAAAAGTGAATGGTCTTTCTGGTACTTTAAAAACACAAATAGTAAGCAGAAAAAAAACAAAGATGCAGATTTGAAAAAGCAAAAGGATACTCTATTGTTTTCTATTAAAATGTTCCTGTAATTGTCATTCACCGAGAAGCCTGTTTCTGGCTTGAAAAAGAGCACTTGCTTGAAACGTCACCAAGAAAATTACACACACACACTATAAACTCCATTTAGTTGACACCAAAATGTCAGAACCTTGTACTAAACTTGGCAATTAAAACATTACAATGTATATTATTATAAAAATAATTCACACATACACCTTACAAAAGCCGAATATAATACAAAATGTTATAATAAAACTTCAGTATTAAGTATTTTAAAAACATAATGTAAACAGTAAATTTATTACATACTGAACTAAGGCAGAATTCTAACAGTCAGAAATTGTTTAAAGTGTATTATAATCACTTTGAAAACAAAACGTACTTGTAGACTACTAGGTTTAGAAACAACTACTGGTTCTCCATTATCTGATGTTTCTCGTATTGTTATGTCCAAAGGTACATCACCTAGTAAATAAAATACAAAACATGTTGTGAGCTGTTTTCACCTGTTCAAAGGAAGAGTTTGGATATATAATACCTTTCAACATAAAATTATTCAGTAACTAATACAGAACTCTACTTTATGATGTAATATTACAATTATTCATATGTATAACATGGAACTGATAAAATATTATGTTCATTCTGTTAATTATTTCCTGCCCACCACTATCATTATGCACTGCAGGCCAACTCTGTTCCCAATGCCAATTAATAAAGAATTATGAAATTAGATTTACTTTTTACCCCTTGAACCACATATTGTAACATAGCTAAAATGGTATAAAAAAGTTAAAATTAAACAAACTAAATAAATTATAAAACCATAAATAAATGTTGCTAAATCAGGCCATGTTTCTGCACCAAAAATAATTTCAATTTTTTTAGCTTATAAATTCAAAATATCTTTACATATTCACAGTTGTGAAACTGCTAAGAGTAGATCAAATAAATAATACAAAACACAGAATTTAGCATGAAGTAAAAAAGCCCTTAACAATAATAAAGAGCAATAAATGTTTTGTATTGAAAACAATGTCTAGGGGTGGCAAAATAGATAGGCAGTTAAACAAAATTAATTTTCAAATTTAACTAATTTACTTTAGATTTGTAATATCACTTCTCTTATTATGTTTCCTTAATTAAGCACATCTACTACAGTTAGCCAATGGGAGAATGGGTAAGGATCATTCAGAATCCCTCCCCACACAATAGAAAGTTCGTTTTTCAAGAAGTGTGTATATATCACAAATAATCCACAAAAGTGTAAATTGAAATTACTAAAAATTCTGAAAACTAGAACACTGTGATATATAAGCAAGAAGTAAGATCAGTAGACTACAATTTTTTTTTCACAAGGCCCATAAACTATAAAATTATTTTTAAGTTTGTAAAAGTGCAAAATTACTAAAAGATGTGAAGTGATAACTCAAAAGTGAATTAACGGTAAACTTATGATGAAAGGAATGGTCTTTCTGGTACTTTAAAAAAGCTTTTTTCTTCAGCTTTATTATATTGTTTTTCTTATGTTCTTTAATTCTCGTGATCCTATCCTGTGCTACATTCTGTTCTCATGGGTGATTAACAACAAAAAAAAGTACTAAAAATTATTAAAGATATAAAAACAAGTTTACAAAGCAAAGAAAGAAATATCTTATACATTTTTAAGGTTATTTTAAAATTTTATGAAAAGCTGAATCATTCATTAATATCCAAAGGATATAAATAATCCAATATGCTTATTTTTATCATGGTTTTTTATTGGTGCTAGAGGGAACATGGCATAAGGCAAGTACTTTAACCCTTTTAATACGGGTAAGGGTCAGAGTGCATATAATCATGTTTTGTAGACTTATATTTGAAATTTTATGAGTGTATGTCCATAAATTATTAAATTTTTGTCAAAAGAAAAGCATAGCTGAATTGGCTTTATCATTAAAATCTAATCAGGGCTTCATTAGGTAGATCTAGGGTATCCATTTTGTCATGGTAGTGTTTTAGCACCTTGAATCCATCATGTGGAATGGATGTACACAATGACATTATGTCAAGTGTAAATAGAATAGTAGAATCTGATTTTGAGTTAAAATTATTAATTTTTGTAAGGCATTTTTAATGTAAGTAAAAACTTAGGGTGGAATCAAGATTAGTTTAGTAGGACAACTGAATGTTGAAACTATGGGTCTACCACAATGGTCAGGCTTATATATCTTAGGCAGAAGATACATTATAAAAAGCTTAGGGTATTTAACAATTAAATTCATAGTTTTTAATGGAAGTTCATTATTTCTTGATCATTAGTTCTATAATGGCACAGACAGTCTGGGTTTTTTGTCACAGATAGCATAGAACGATTAATCTGATAGTTGTCGGTGAGCTGCTTGAAGATAAAAAGTTCTTTCTTCCAAACAAACATTGCTCCTCTTTTGTCAGCTTGTTTTATTACAATGTTGTGATGGGAACAAAGATTATATAAGGCTACTTTTGTTTCTTAGTGAGGTTTCTAATGGATGCTGCAGTTTTAAAATCCAAGTTGTAAATTTCCTTTTGACACTTATACATACTAACAGTAAACATCTGAATTCAGCTTAAATCATATCAGTAGTTACACACCAACACCCTAGACAATTTAAAACTTCCAATGATGTGCATCCAACCTCACTTCAGCCAACACACTCCTACATCAAATGATCATAAACACATTCCTCTTACGCTTATGTTTCATCTATTCAACACACAAATAACACATATATTGTTGGACAACTTTCACATCATAGCATAGGACAATACAATCAGTTACATGTTCTCTAAAAACCTCTAATTTCTTATATACAAGACACTAACATTAAAGATTTATTCCTCGATAGTCAATTTCCAAACAATATACAACCGTCATGTGATACTCAAGTTGGTGCGTAGAGTTATCAGAGGAACAGATGCAACACTTGTCCTTACTTTGATCACAGAACATCTCATAGAGGCCTTAAATCAGCATATTCTTTGAAAAGTCATTTCAACTGTTCATCTAAATCCTTAACTTATTGTATTATTTGTAACAACTGTGACCAAATCTATTTAGAAGAAACCAGCCATATGCTCATTGAATGCACACAAGAACACTTGTATGTAGCATCTTAATTAAAGATCAAGATAAACGTGTAGCTTGGCACTTCAGCAAAATCAATCATTCCCTTAAGCACTTTAAAGTAATTTCCATGTGACATACACCCTCCAACACCAATCAAAGAACTATGATTGAAAAATAAATCATTTTTAAATTGGGTTGTGTAAATCTTTTTGGTATTAATGAACGGTTCAGCTTTTCATAAGATTTTAGAATAACATTCATTTATTACCTTAAAAATGTTAAGTTATTTCTTTCTTTGCTTTGTATACTTTTATTTATATTTTTAACAGTTTTTATTACCTTTTTTTTTAATCATCAACTTTATTATATTATTTCATTCTCATAATTCTCTCTCTCACATTTTGTTCTTGTGTGTTGTTTCCTTTCAAAACATTCCTGTAATTGTCATTAGCCAACAGGCTTGTTTCTGGCTTGAAAAAAGAGCATTTGTTTGAAACATCACCAGAAATTATAATACAACCATAGTTTATTAATGTGATTTATCCCCAAAGTCTAATTTCTTTGTTTTATCACTTTCACATTTTTCTACATGTGTGTGTGTTTGTGTCTGTAGACACACAGTATAAACTCTATTTAGTTGACTCAAAAATGTCAGAACCTTGTATTAAACTTTGTTACAGCTCAAACTGTGTTATAAAAAAAAATTACTCAGCAATATGAAATGTAGTATAAGGAAAATCTGTTTCAAGTATGTACTTTTATACAAAACTGTCTTCAGAAGTGTACCATATTATCAAAGTTGTTCATAAAATCTGTTTATCATTGTAATCATAGTAATAGTTTTAAAATATTTCTTAATTTTCCTTTTTGTTGTTTTCCAGTTCATAAAGTTTCACTTTTGTACGTCAATGGAAAAAAACTTCAAACAAGAATCAGTGTATAAAATACAGTGCAGGCTATAAATCACATTTATTGTGAAATTATGTACTTTATTACAGTACTAGGGCGATTTTTAAAACTTCTTTACACATTAGAAAATTTCAGTCTATGATTCTCTTTTGGTTGGTATAAATGGATCTTCCAAAGATGGAAGCTTGGCAATAACCTTTTCAGCAATAGAGTGATAAACATCAGCCTGTTGAGAAAATCCAAAAAAAAGTTGTATGTTTTGTATACAATTTGAAATAGAAAATTATAAGCATAATGAAACACTTATTAAATCTGAGTTTCAGTACATATTTTACTCTTCAGATTAATATAGTTTTTGTGCCCAAGAAAAATACTAGTGTGGGGCAAAAGTTAATTTAGATCAACCAAGTTTTATTTCAAAATGCAATATTTAAACACATACATAATTACAAGAAAAATAAACACAATAGTGTTAAGTAGTATGTTTTCACTTCCTTTAGGATTTACAGATGACATTCAGAGTGAATGAGAGAAATAGCTTCATAATTTATTATAAAAATAGTTCAAATATAATACAGTTGCTTGAAAAATAGTTCCTAAATGCAACACAGCAATTTTAAAACTACTTGTAACTAAATATCAATTTTATCCAATCTTATTGTGCAATGGTTTTCTAACTGTGTACCATTTGGCATTACCAACACTTTCTGTTTAATTGTTAAGTGAAATATGCAAAATTACTCGTAAATTAGTGGCATTTCAAATCATTTACTGCCAAATTAGAAAATTAGTTACCATAAATGACATTTATGTTACTATTATGCAACAGATAGTCTCAAAGTTGTTCTGTGGACAGTCTCCAACATTCTTTAGCACCACTAGTTGAAAATCATTGTAGACCTATTTCAGTTATAAAGGTAAAGCTAGGCCTATCTCATTTATTTGTTACTGGAGTGAAACAACAAAAATAAAAAACTAATGACTGAGTTTACAAAGTTTAATTATGATTAGTCTATATGCCTGTTTCAGATTATCAGTTCCCTTGTAAATGGAAGTTATTCTTTGACAAGGCCTTCAGGTGTGGTGGATGCACTTAAAGGAAGTTTAAATGAAGGATTAATAAATATTTGAATGATAAGAGCTGGCTTTGAGTTTTCTTTTTAAATTTCTGGTGTCAAACTTAAGAAAAACGTTATTCTGCCAGATCCGGTTAAAAATAATCAGAACAATAGCAAGAGAGACAGGAGAGAGATGCAGGATCCCCTCTACAGTTTCTATGTTCACTGTCGAGTTGTATACCATTTCTCTTGCCCTGGATCATGTAGAAGCTCTACAGTACACTGATTGTACAATTTACACTGACTCTCGAATTGTTTAACATTAGTTCTCAACGATATTTAACAATGTCTGGCGCAGTTTACTGGATACCTGGCCATGCTGGTATTCACGGGAACAAGCTTGCTGACACTGCAGTTAAGTCCGTCTGTTCTGGTGCCGTCACAGCCGTGCCTATCCCATATATGAATTATGGTCCTGTATTGAAGGCTCGGCTTCACGCCACTTGGCAGTTCACTTGAAGTGAGAAAGTTCATAACAAGTTTTTTCAGATCAAACCTTCTGTCGTTCCTTGGCTGTATTGTTTTCATAAGGATTGGAAGGAGGAAGTTGTCCTGACTAGGTTACACATTGTTCAGAGTTTTTTAGCTCATCATTTTCTTTTATCTGGGACTGATCCACCAATGGGTGACCTTTGTGACACTCAAATCACGTTTTACTATGGTGCCATGGTTACAACTCTGAGTGACGGAACCATTTTTGACATGTGTTTTCTAAGGTTTAGCCCTGACATTGGATGGTGTTATTAGCGATGGGGACACTGTCCAACTTAATTGTAATTTTTAAAATGTTTACGAACCATTGGCCTTTTTAAATCTTTTATCTTAATTTTGGACATTGTTTAATTTTAACTCGATTTAGTTTTAAATTTTAAAAAAAATTTACTTTTATGGGTTTTACCAGTTGTTTGGCACAGATAGCGTAGTTGCTTTGCACCAAAAAACGACAACCAACCACAACTACTAGCACTGCTGATTCCCTCTATGCATCTTAGCTTAGCTTCACTTCTTGATTGGCACTTGTGGTGTTTATATGTTTTTTACTGAAGCTTTACTTATAGAATTTTAATCAATTACTTCTTTTTAGAGAACTTAGTTTGTTTTGTTTTTAGTGTGCTACATGTTTTCCATGTTAATATTACATGTCTTAAAATTTTTTTGAGCTCCCTTTGTGGATTTTCTGTTATTTCCACTCATACTTCTGATGAATTCAGAGTTTAATGTTACAACTACTACTACTACTGTTCATCCAACTGCAGTTAACCTTACTTTATCTACAATGGCTTTCGGTCCACAGTTATCAGTATAATACATTATGACCTTGGTTTGTTGGGAGTTGGATACTAGTTATAAGCTTTTCTATTCGGGCTAGCTTTGGCTCCCTTTGTTTTTGTCAGGTGGTCAAGGCCTTTGCTCATCTTATCTATTCCAGAGGCCTTCATTTTCTCCATTACATAAATAACTGGCTGTTTCTAGCTCCTTCCCATGTCACCTCCTCCCTTCACACTCAGTTTCTTCTTTAAGAAGCTGTACAGGTAGGTTAACTGGTAAAGGTCGAAAAGCCCTCTTCCCCCACTTAATATCTTGTTCATCTTGGTGTATTTTTAATTCCAGTCTCAGCCAGAACCAACCCTCTCTCATTCACCTGCAATCTATGGAGTTTCTTATTCAAACCGTTTCCTCCTCTCCTTCTCCAATGTGCGAGAGGTTCTATCTCTTTTGAAGACATTGTCTTCTTTGGAGGCTCTCATTTCCCTCAGTCAAGCCCACATGTGACCTCTTCCCTTGGACACCCCTACTGATCTCCCTCTTTCCCTGCATATGGACTTTCCCTAGTGGTTGAGCTGAGGCAACACCACAGTGGGTGTTCCTCTTCCTTCTCCTCCTCTGGTGGTGCACCTCTTCATGGATGCTTCTCGTTTATGTTGGGGTGAGTATCTGGACAGGTAAGAGATTTTGAGATGTTGGTCTGTAACAGTCATCTTTGCATATCAGTTTATTAGAACTGCTCATTGTTTGTCGGGTTTTATTTCATTTCCTTCTGTCTCTCTGTAACTGGTCAGTTATGATCCATCCCAACAACTTCATGGTTGTATCGTACATTACTTGTCAAGGGGGAACTTGGTTGAGGTCTCTTTGTTTCCACACGTTGCACCTCCTGTTTTTGTCCTACTGCCATCACATTTGTTTGAAGGCATGTCATACACCAGGTGCTCTGAATCAGGTCACCGATCATTTATCCCACCCAACAAGTTTCTCCCCACGGAGTGGTCCCTTAACACACAAGTGTTTGCTTGGCTGTGTTCACAGTGGGGTACTCTGGAATTGGATGCATTCACCACCCACCTGAAGTCCAAGCTTCCCAGGTTTTGGTCTCCTGATCCTCATCCTTTGGCCATAGCTGTCGATGCCTTCAGTATGGATTGGGGGACTGCTACCTTTATACACATCCTCCCATCTGTTTTCTTCTTTATGTCCTCACTATCATACAAGCCACTCCATGTCGATTCCTCTTGGTGGCTCCACTTTGGTTGGTGCAACTGTGGTTTTCACTTCTGCATCTGCTCCTACTGATACCTCCTCCTCCACTTCCCCTCTCCTCAGACAACCTCATTTGAGCACACTATATACTTACCTTTCCACACTCCATATTCATGCATGGCTTTTGTCCAGTCCCTTACCAGATGGGGTGAACTAACCTGTAGGTTGCTTCCCTAATTTTTCATTCAGTGCATCCTTCCTCCTCTTTTAGTTTACCAATGTAAGTGATATGTTTACTGTCATTGGTCTTCTCATTATGATTTTCCTCCATCTTATCCTAATCTCCTACACCTGACTTCATTCCTTACCTGGCTTTGAGGGTGGCTTTGTTAATGTTCCTCTTCATAATATTTATTTAGCATCAGACCTAGTTTCGGGACCAGTTGTGCTAAGACCTACTCTGCCAATTAAGGGTGTATCATTGTTGTTGGGAAACGATTTGGCTGGGGAAAAAGTTGTTGCCAAACCTAAAATGGTTAACGAGCCGTTCACCGTTTCATCTAAGGATGATGTTGTAGTTGAGGAGAATCCCGATGTGTTTCCCTCGTATTCTGTGACTCGAGCTCACGCTAAGAAATCAAGCCAAAAATAAATAATAAGCATCGATTCATAGGATTATATTATAGATTTCTCTTAGACATTTTTGGGATCCTGTGAATGATCGTCCTACTGACAATACCTCGGTGAGTGACAACAATTGTCGTGAAGGATCTGATTCACCCATTTACTAAAAGTAAACTGATCACTGAACTATAAAAAGATTTGCAGATCACTTCACTATTTAAATATGCTCTCCCAAAAGATGAACTGGGGAAAGTTCCAAATGGTTATTTTTTTCAAAAATGGTGTGCTTACGAGGAAATGGAGACCACCAGATGTGCCAGCTTCAAAGGATGTTCCCAAAGCATGTCCTTCTGAAATATTGAAAGTTGCCCATGAACTCTCCATGGGAGATCATTTAGGTGTCAACAAGACAGGTGACAGCATCAGTTTGTTTTTCAAAATATAGAATATGGTTCACCTATTCCACCTCGTGAGTACCCTCCCCATTTCTCCCAGTGAAGTGTGGAAGTCCTTTTCACTCCCAGTTTCTTGTCACTGGGTTGGTGGACAGAAGTTTAGTCCTCCTGAGTGATGCTTGAACTCATTATTCCACTTGAGGGGAAGAGGGCAAACTGGGTGCCTTCTGACCAATAACCCTGGATAGTTTTCTCAGCCTACGCAGGAGCCTCATCGTAATTCTGGTTCGGAGATGACTTTTTGCTATCCAGTTGAGTTGAATGTGGCCGTTTTTTGGTCATTCTCTTCAGTTCAATGATCATGGAAAAGGGTTCTCGACTCCTCCTAATTCTGCACACAGAGCATCAATTCCTGTGCC